AAAATCGACCCATTTCTGCAGCGGATGGTGACTGGTGATGAAAAGTGGGTCACTTACGACAACGTCAAGCGAAACCGGTCGTGGTCGAAACGCGGTGAGCCGGCGCAAACGGTGGCCAAGCCAGGATTGACGGTCGGGAAGACTTTGCTATGTGTTTGGTGGGATTGACAGGGAATCATTCACTATGAGCTGCTCCCCTACGGCCAAACTCTTAATTCGGACTTGTACTGTCAACAATTGGACCGTCTGAAGGAATCAGTCACCCAGAAGCGGCCAGCTTTGGCAAATACGAGAGGAATTGTGTTCCATCAGGACAACGCCAGGCCACACACATCGATAGTGACTCGCCAGAAGCTCCGGGAGTTTGGTTGGGAGGTTCTTATGCATCCACCTTATAGTCCGGACCTGGTACCAAGTGATTACCACCTGTTCCTGTCTATGGCGAATGATTTTGCTGGTGAAAAATTCGCCTCAAGAGAAGCTTGTGAAAATCGACTGTCCCAGTTTTTTGCCAATAGGGATAAGGGTTTCTATGAAAGAGGCATAATGGAATTACCTTTAAAATGGCCACAAGTTATCGAACAAAACGGTGCATATTTGACCTAAATCGGATCATTCTAACTATGCTAAGTAAAACCTTCAATTTCATGCAAAAATAATGGATTTCTTTTTACTACACCTTATACTTAATAAAAAAATATCTTATATTATTTTGCAAAGCTCTTAAGATAAACTACAAGAATATGCATTAAAAAATAGGAGTTTAAGTTTAAGAAATTGAAGGTGATTTCCACGTTACCTTGATAACGCTATTCAAGGTCACACTACTACTACTATGTAATGCGTCACATAAAACTTTATAATATTTGCATGAAACATTTTTTTCGAAAATGCGTATTTTTCGATATTTGCTAAGGTCACTGCCGAAATTGGTTTTCCACCATTTTGTGTACTTTCCCAAAGATTATCAATAAAAATTCCTTCGTCATAATGTTTCTAGGACCTTAAGATATAAACCCTGAAAGTTGCGTTGAGTAAATCTGTGTTTGAAACTTTCATCAAAATTAACGGTTGTCCTGTATAATTTTACACAAAACACATTCGTTATTTTTGTTGGCCACAACTGGAACAACGCAACAACCAGTTTTGGCCATCCTATGATCAAAAATAGAATACATATTATATTAATACATGATCTAGTTTTCGACACTTATTATTTTTTGCTTAATAGGAATTAAATGCGTGGTTATGCATATTGAGATTAACTTTTAGACTTTCCGTAAGCCGATTATAGAAACATTCACAATAATGTCTTTTATACAATAATTCTAACGTTTATCTCACTTCGTATCCTTAACGTTTCTCACAAGAAAATGCAGCAGTTCGTATACCTTCGGTTATAAATATTCAAGTAAAGAAGAAAGAAAATTCTACATTCGTTAGCGCGCAGCGTGACCAACAGAAATGCTGTAAAAACAAAATATTGCCACTTACGTAACACGAATATGAATCATAAACTAAATAATTCAAAAGATTCCTTGAAGTAGCCACAAATGGAGCACCAACCCTACGCACTACAAGAATAGACATACACAAACTTCCTAAACAATACATATGTGTTATGTCTAAAGACGTCTTGAAGACGTCTTAAGAAAGACATCTTTAAGATTTTATTAAAAGATGTCATAAAGATATCTTTCAGTAAAGTCTTAAAGACATCTTTAAAATGTCCTTTTTAAGACGTTATTGATTCTTTATGAAAAAGACGTATTTACGATGCTTTTGAGACTTTCTGTGTGTATGTGTGTATGTTTCTGTGTGTGTGTGTAAACATATATTTCAAAATTATCTCTTCTAAATGTTTTTGGAATATTCATATATATATTGATATATTGTATAAATAATCAAAGTTTAATCTACAACCTGCTCGCAAAAGAGAGAGAATATTTCTTTTTTATCTCTCGCAATATTTTAACAGCGTAAAATTATGGCTAGATTTTTTTTATAATTATATTAATCGCATTGTGACTGTCCTTTGAAACATTTACTAACAAATATGTCATTACATTTTTGAACGATATAAGAGTGTATTGTAAATATAACCCACCAAGTTATCGTTACAGCGTAGTGGCATTACCAGTTTCCATGTGATCGTTGAAGTTAAGTATCGAAACAGCATGGCCATCTAAAAATGGTGGACGCCTCACACGGGATCGAAATCGCGTCGCATCTCACGAATAAATGTTTTTTTTTATTATTTAGACAAAATACTTCATTATAATTTCCTCAATCTATTTTAATTAATAATAATTTTGCACTGAATTTTTCTAAATTTGTACTAAAATACACGGGAAAAAAAATGACTTTTCGATGTCTCTTGGATGTTTTACATGATGTTTTCCGAATTGGACGTTGTCCAATATGGCGTTCTATTGAACGCCCAAAATCGAGACGTTAGACGCCTTAAAGGCATCTTTTTGTTAAATTAATAGGACGTCTATAAATTTTTTAGGCGTCTTTAGGACGTCTTAATGTTCTCATAAATAAAATTTCAGTTTCAAAATATGTATATTTTCATAAAAACAAAGTGTAGGAATATATGACTATTGTCATGTATAAAATAATTAATTTTATTGTTGTTGTTATATATTGAAATGTTTTATACATTCTCCATATCAGTACTATCTTCCAGTCTCTTATTATGAAGAAGTTCGAGAAGGACGTGTTACGTATATGTATCGCGTGGAATAGGCTACATATAGCGTTACGAGTATATAGACGTGTTCCCACCTATTTTTTAAAAAGTCCATATGTCGGAAAATGGCTTTATCATACATGGTTGAATTCGAAATAAAAAATCCTTTCATTTAGCAGAATTGAAATTTTTAAATTATAAGAAAAATTGGTAAGTAGTGGGGGTATGCTTAACATTTTAACATTTTTTCTTAACTGAAAACGTCATTATAAAGTATTCTTCAAACAATTTAATTTTAGTTGAGAGTTTTTTTTTATCTTTTATACTTTTGACGGTGCATGCTCCGAAAAAAATACCGATTTTCCTTCAAAGGGATGTTTTATCCCCTAAAAATGCAATTAGGCACGTATAAAAAATACGTGTCCCTTATTTTAGTCTACATTGCAACATATTTCAAGCTTATCCGAATGGGAGAGGAACGGTTCCATGCATCTACTTGTAAGTTCTGTATATACAAAAAATAAAAAAGGGATAGGGTAATTGTTAGTGACGATCGTCTTTGTGTTATTGGTATTTTTTTTCGTGTTCGTCATTGACTTCAGCATCTTCTTAAATCTTCAAAGTTCACAAATTCGTAATTTAAACTATGGGAGGATAACAATATTTGAATGTTATATTAATACAGTTTTTTATATTCTATATTGTCACTTCGACTCCTGTCATAATTGATTACAACGCAAACGCATCAGTAGTTTTTTTTTTTAATTTGTGACCACCAGAAACGCTGCAATTTTATTCGGAAAAATATATGGTAAACTACCATTTAGTAACCGAGTGTATCAATTGACGGACAGACAGATAGAAAAGCGATCAAAGTTTGCTTATGGCACTCACCTCTCGAGCGTTTTCAAATGCAGAATTAATGGTTGCTCGTCGATAAAGTTAGTAACATCGCGGCGCACCCGATTGTGATGTCGTCTCAAAGTCGCTGTGTCATACGTGGCCGCTTCGTAATACTTGATGTACGAACCAAGTGTAATACCTGAAAAGTAAACACAATAAAATAAATTTTATTTCTAATAATGACAGTCTGGAAAGGATGAATTACACAAAACCATAAAACAAACACGCAAAGGTAAGACGTCCGTAAAAATGCGTTTGCACCTTATAAATGCATATAAAAGTAATATAGAGTAAAGCTTGATTCGTGATACAAATAAAACTCAAACAACTTTTACAACTAAAATAAAAATGTAAAAAAGAATTTGAAAAATTACAAAATGAAAACATTAAACTTTCACACTTATTTAATTTGTCGAATAGAATTATGTACGCAACAACAGAAAAAATATTAATCTAAGGATAAAATATAAGGAGGAAATATATCTAAGGAGAAAAAATATTTTCAATAATATCCATAATATAAGAAAAATCAAATAATATGCAAAAAATTTTTGAATTTTTTAAATTACATTAACTTCATTATTCACACTAGATGGATATAATCTGTAATGAATATTTTAGTGTAATTCAACATATAACTTTTTTAACAGTCTGCCTTGCTTATTTTTTCATCTTTCTGTTTTTATGTTATGCAAATTACCTTGCGAACTTAATTAATAAAACTATTTTTCATCTGACAAACTCAAAATGTAACTGATAAATTCCATTATTATAATTATTCATTAACCTTATTATAATCTAAAAATAATAATTTTTCTATCTCTGTATAGAAAGATCGCGACTAAAACCAAACAATTAAAAAATGTATTCCAACATGAAAAAAGGAGAGGAATGAAAAGAGCAGGAGGGGGAGAGAGTAAGAAAGAAAAATGTTTCAAGTTGGTTAGGAAAGTATACGAGTTACCCCAGATAGCACAACATATTCTATGAATATTTTTATTCATTACGAATGTTCCTATTTCAGAATATTCGAGTGAGATATTTTGTGAATAAAAATAGTATATTCCCAGATAGTACAAAATATTCTTATGAAATACGAATATTCTTATTTTCAGAATATTAGAGTGGAATTTTCTATGAATATGAATAGAATATTCCAGAATTTCGCATATTTGTAAAGGAATAGAATATTCTCAAAATACACCGAAGATATATTTACTGCGCATGTGTAACGTACTATGAGATCCAAATGTCTAGGTTCTAGTACGCACTTGCATAGTTAATCTCAAGATTGTTAACGCGATAAACATTAGGTGAAAATTTATCGCGTAAGAATGCTAAGTATTAATATATATTCATATAGCACAAATGTTCACTAGATATCCGAAGAACGTTCTAAGAATATTCGAATATTCTTAGAACGTTCTTAGGATATCTATTAAACATTTGTGCTGTATGGGTATTAATTATACGCATTTATCTCCTTTTGTACATGTAAAGAGCAATAAAGAAATCCCGTCGCGAAAAATAAATAGTTTTACCATTAAAAAAAATCATTGAAAATGAGTGGCTTTTTCAATGGTATTTTCAATGGCAAACTGAATGAGTTTTTGCCAATAGTAATATTTTAACACTGAGCAATTTTACCACTGGTGAGTGGTACTTACCAGTAGTACTAAATATATAAAATATTATTATAACATACGGACATACATAAATATAATCACACACATTCCCATATAACTTAATGCTTGGTTATTTTGTTAAAATAATTAAAAAAAAACTGGTACATCATATTTTTATAAGCTTCGCTTATATGTGTTTCTGCGTCCGGTTCGAACTCTAACTGCGTCGGTCACTCTGCCTATTTCCTAATCTTTGTCTTAGTCTTCGTTGCTATTGCTCAATCTTAGTGATCAGACTAGTAATGATTCAAATGACTCTGATGAAATCTTCATAACTTGTGGTTATATAATGTATCTTCATGTGCTTACAAAACATTGTAATGATATATTTACTGACAGATATTAAAAACGAAAACAGTTAATATGCAATGGATATTAATATAATATATATTCGCGAAATAGTGACGCGATTATTGCTCTTATATTTTTAACTTAACATTATTGTGCATTTGAGAGTAAACGATAAGTTAGTTTGAAAAATACATGCAATAATTTATGTATATATACAGGGTGTCCCAGACAATCCTTATCACACTTTGTGAGAACGTAGAATGGATTGAGTCAATTTTGGCGTCAATTTGGCGCCAAGTTGTGTACGCTGTGACCGTTATTCCTCGCGACATTACACGAGAAGGACGGACAAAACTTCGTTCCCACAACGCGGCGACGGCCGACTTCACCGACTGCTCACTCGATCACTGTGATAGAATGGCGTGGTTCTTTACTAGCGAATCTTTATTTATTGCACACGTGAGAGGAAGGCAGGAGAGGCGGTTGAGTAACAGCTCTTATTCAAAATTCTCACTCAAATTCAAACAGTTAACAATAACATTTATTACGGTCGACGTAGCAATAGCAAAATGATCGAATGGTATTCTTATTGATAAATATCCAATGGTAACTAATATACTATCGAATGATATTTCTTTGAGTACATTCAATAGTAAAATATTTTACCACTAATTGAAGGATTTTCCTACGAACCGAAGGATTTTTCTTCAAGTAGTAAAATCATTTGTTAATGACAACGCCGTATGATTTTATTATTAGTTCAAATGATTTTACCACTGATCTCAGTAGTAATACCATTAACATTTTTCGCGACGGGATGATGTGGTAGTGCTAATTAGCGTCTCCGTAAACGCACCCTGGCAGGCTCGAAGCTGATTGGTCTAAAGTCTGTTCTTTTGCTCTGTATTACTGCACTGGTGCAACAAATTAGAGTGAGACAAATATATATTACTCTAACTTATTGCACCAGTGTAGCAGTGCAGAGTGAAAGAACAGGCCTCTGATTAGCACAAGTACGCAACTTAGAACATTTCGAGGCATTGTATATCGTATCGCTGCTATTATACTAATGCAAGAAGATATGTACGACAAGTACCCACAAGTAGCACAAAATGTCCCAGTGACATCACAATAGACTCACAATTCATACAGCACAAAACATCTCAGCAATGTCATCTCCAGAATATTACAAATATTACAAATATTACAAATATCATTTTTAAAATAATTTAATACCATTTTAAATTGAGTATTTTATATCAATTGAAATTGAGATACTTTAAGAATATTCCATTTGAAACATTATCATTTGCGAAGTTTTTGAAATATTCTGGAAATCTGTCGCGAGAAATATATTAGAATATCTCAAATTGAATATTCTAGAAATATTTTACTTGAAACATAATTAATTAATTAATTAATTAATTCTGTCCCATACCGTCAGGCTCGCCGAAATACGGAGCGGTAATGGGTTATAGTGAAATTTCGGTAGAATTATTCTTGTGGAAAAGATTTCACAAATTGGCGTCCTATGAAAAACTTATCGTCGAAAAACTGTCCACTGAAACGCTATAAATTTATTCTGACAGTATTGAATGTTTTTAGTTGTCATTTCCATGAAAATGCGGCTCATTATTTAACATTAAATTGCAATAAACAAGCATGAAATATTATTTTTGAAAAAAGATTATATCACAAAATTCTTTTAACGATCTATCCATGGCACGCGAAGAGGTACAAGTGTTGATAAAATATATCTGACTTTTCTTTTATTATATTAAATATTTGGACTAAATCGTTTATTTTTGTATATTATTTATGATAAATAATATTATAAAATAGATGTATGATAAATAATATTATAAAAAAATTAAAATTACTGCTTTGGTTGCATATGAGGACAATAAGAAATACTTACAAGGGAACTAACAGAACTGTCCCTCATCAATTTTGATGCGTTTTGGATATGTTGTAGAGCATCAAAAAGTATTCGACACGTATTTTTTTTATCGGCTGAATGTTAAGTTTAGAAGTTGAAACAGCCCCTTAAAAAAAAAGGACTTTTACATTTTTATTGAATATTTCCTAAAATACAAGATATATGAAAAAATGTTTCCTACAAAAGTTGTACAGTATTTAACACTCCTTTTGCAACGGTATATTTAATTTTTTTAAAAACGTCAAATTTTTTCACCTCTCCCAACTCGTTACCTTTGCAAAATTTGTAGGTTTTTGTAATATGTTCCATATATAATATTAAAAGGTAGTCTCGATTAAATTGTTGGAAAACGTGGTGATAATATCGTGCTATACGCGTCACGCCGTCGAAGTAGATGGATACTGTAGCTAGATACGTTACTGTAAGTAGGGGAATGTAATAAATTGTAGAAAAATAATACATAAACAGTTGCATATATTTAATGTATAATGTTTACAATTTATAATGTTATTATAATATATTAAAATTATATAATTAATATATTAAGAAAAATCGATTGAGGATTTGCATACACAGAAAATAAATATGTTTTACTTATGGCACATATTCGTAACAAAGATGGTGCTCATGGAAAAAATGTGTGATGCAAAGTGATCGTTTGCACCAAGAACAATTATAGCAGTTTTGCCACAAACATAGCATTGTATTTTAGGATCTTTTTTGAAACAAAAATCAACCGGTGTCTCAAACTCTGGCGGTCTAGTCTGTAAATATTCACTTTTAAACTATGCAAATTTAAATAAATTTTGAAACGGGTGACGAGAATTGATGGTGTGTTAATGACTGCAATTTCAAGATATTGTTCCTATTATGAAGATCAATTGCAAGATCGAGTAACATAACATTATCAGAGAAATATTTGATAAAATTTTTCCACAAGCGGAAGCCATATACATCTAGTGGTTGTATTTTTCCTGTTATACGAGCCGGAATTGTTAGAAAATATATCTGTTGCAGAATCTGGTCTACTTTCGGCAATTATCTTGGGACAATGTCCACTTCAAGAATCTAATAGTAATACAGATTGTGGCCTGACGTTTGGAAAGAAAACTTCTCTCAAAAAACCAGATTTTTACACGATTTGATGTTAATTTATCTGACTTTGAAGCCATTACATAAATGTTAGGAGCGTTAAATAATGATTGCTGCACTCGTGGACCAAAC